GTGGAGTCTGTTCACGCCCCTGTAGAAATCTCTCCAGGATAATCCGAGCCATTAATGAGGGTGCATAGTCCACCTTCGGTAAACAGAAGTAGAAAATTAAAACTGCCAAGCTGTGCCAGCAGTTGATATTCCAATATTTTGTCAACACTGAAGATTAAGTCAATTTTAATCAACGGTAACAAGCATCATTCATTAAAACCTTTTCCACCCTTGGTGGCTTCCATGGTAGTAGGCTGTAAGAAGATCTGTGCTACTGAAAAGAATGCATGGGTCACTTATGGAAGATAACACTGGGATCAGCAATGATGGGTCAACTTGGAAATAATACCTAAAACAGGAAAATAAGTGCTTCTAATTTCGATTTTTGTTGGTAGGCATATTGCTTTGTACTCTAGAACCCTCTTTTCTAGACTTACATTATTTTGAGTTCGATTTCAAATTTGAAAAAAAACTATTCAGTCACTTTTCAAAAACTAAATCAAATGTCTAAATCATTAAAAATATGGATTTTGGACTGATTCCATTTTATCTTTAGAAAGCACTGAGATTTGTTGTAAATCCTTTATATACAAAATAGGTTACACAATAAAAGAAAAAAAACTACTTTGCAGAGATATTAAGAATAAAATACAACAATATCATCTGCAGCAAAAATTAGCATACTGAGTTTGGTCTGAAATACTACTGATCAGTTTAGTAAATTCAAAGACCAGAAAGTGAACCTGCTTTTAAATAGAAAATCAAACAAAAAACAAAGAACACTAAGCAAAATAGTCACCTTATTTGATCATGCTGATAATAATAAATCACCTACTCATTTGTAAAAGTATTTTCTATTTCAGATTATTCATTAACCACTGATTAATTTTACCAGGAAATATATATGTTTTTTAAGAGCAATGATGCTTCCCTAATAGGAGCCTTTTTATATTGAGTGTAAAATGGGAAATATTCCTCATATATTATCACGGGGAATTTTTCTTGACAGGTATTCAAGTCCCATGCTCACACCAAAATTTTATCTTGATTTAGTAACTAGACAAAGAGGGTAGCTTCATTTGTATGAACAGTTTTCTTTTTTCAAATATGTATGTACTTGGATGCCCTTAAATTCCCCAAGTAGAAAGAAATGCTTTCCACGGAGCTGCTTATTCGTAGTAACCCACATCAGGGCTGACACATGAAAAATGGTGAAATTACTGAAGGTAGTCCAGCCTGAATAAGGACTACCTTATTAGTTCAGGTACCTGCATCTCTCTAATTTTCATATTAATCATGTGTCCATCTTGCTCTGAAATAGGGCCATCATGCTTCATGTCAGAATTTAGCATGTAAGTAAAATTCATAGTGCTTCAAATGTAACTTGAAAATATTTGTGTGGAGAGAACAGAATGACGGATCATATAATCACTAACAGAATGAGATTTCCTAAAATGTTCATTTTCAGGCTTGATCAAGAAAAATGGTATTAAGACATTTATGAAACCAATGATGGCCAACTAGATCCCTTATCCCACCCAAATCAACAATAACATGGTGTTATTGTCTGAGAGGAGAGTTGCTACACAACACAATGTACAAGTTACACATTTCTCATCAATTTTTACAGTTTCCACTGATTAAATATATATTGACTCATAAAATATTACCATCACATCAATTGCCACCAGATATAAGCGCATGTATTTTAAGTATTCACTAAACATGGGAACCTGGATGTTTAGAAGCCATAATCTGGTACCCACCATTTCCAAATTAACCTAATGCATTAGTAATCTCATGCAAAGTGGTTCCTCTGCACTAACTGGGCACCAAAAAGAAAGGGGAGAAAAATCTCTGAATAACTATTTATTTGGTGGAGGCTAAATATTGCTATGTATTCATGGCAAATAGTAGATTTATTGACGTAGGGAAATGTATGGTGATGGGATAGCTCTTTCCATACAATTAAAAGTTGGAAGCTGAAATCAGTTCCATAAACTAAGCCCAAACAAAAGTATCTATTAAAAACTCGAATGAGCAGCTAGAGAGTTGTCTTAGTAATTAAAAGCAGTGGCTACTCTCCCATAAGACCTGGGTCTGATTCCCAGAATTCAGGTGGTGCCTCACAATCATCTGTAACTCCAGTTCCAGGGAACCAGACACCCTCATCTAGACTCCATGGGTATTAGGCACAAACAAGATACACAGGTATACACACAGGAAAAACATCTATGCACACAAAAATAGCAACACATCTTTCTTTAAAAGTAAAATTCAAATGACTATAAAGTGCTGATGTAGAGAACTTCCACCGTCAATGTAATCATCTATAAAAGCAAGTTCCACATCTGCAACACTTTTCCCCAGATGCGCCTCCTCTCTTTCACGGAGGATAGTCACTGAAATTCTACTTAGTGCTCAGGTACCTCAAGTCTCTAAGAGTGGAAACTTAGTACAACAACACCAAAATGCCTGAAGATCTTTTAACACCCATCTTGTTCTAGAAATAAGAAAATAAGACACAAGACAGACCATTCTGTGTGTAGCCACCCTATCAATTTGTGGAAATGCTTCCTGGACGATTAAAACCATCTTGTAACTGATGGGCAATTGCTCTTCTGCTGACTGCGGCAATATGCAGCAGACATGAGCTGCAAGAGAAGCCATCCTTCCTTCCTAATGCAGCATGCAGAACTTGCTGCTCCTGCAACGCTTAATGTTCATGGCACAGAGTCATCTTTAATGCAAACACACATTTTCTGCCTTGCCTCTCTGTTTCCCATTATAACACAACACAGAAGCAGTGTGCATTTCATGCCATCCCTATGAGGTTTGCATAAGCCATTCCAACTCAGACTCAATACTGTATTGCTCTCATTACAGTGGATAAATATTTTAGAGTTTAGGAATTAAATATTTTATTTTTCGGTAGGCTCTCTGCAACTATTGTGAACTTTCTGCTGTTTCTTCACTCACAGGAAATCTTCAGGGTTTCTTTTAGAAAATGCTAGGCTGTTAGCTGTTTCCCCACACAGGAGCAGATCAGAGTTAACAAATAAGTTCCATAAATCACTTTATATTTGGTGTTAATAAGAATATTATGTTTCTTTATGGGAAGGCGCTTTTCCATAGGCTTATATCCTTTATTATAATAAAAGTTTACAAACAGAAAAATGAATCAAGTAAATGATACATTGCTAAATATAAAATTTCTCACTTCGTTTTTATAATAGTTAGCATAGGTTTTCTTGGCATGCATCTCTTTACTTGATGTAGGTATTTTTCATGCTAAATTAAAGCAACCAATCCTAAGAGCATGTTCGGAGCTGTTTGGTTGAAATTTTCCACAAAATAAGAAGCAAAGAAGCTGTTTGTACATTTGCCTTAAAAGAAGCAGACTAATTATGTCAACTGATTTATTAATTCGTGAAGTTTTTTGTCCAATTATTAAAAGTACAAAGGGACCAGGGAGCAATTTAAATGTCTAACACACCTCAAAATCTTTCCTTATTTTAAAGTTAATTAAAATTCTGAGTAACACTACTCTCAAAAGGCCCCTTAGGTTTAGCTCAGGTTTAAATAAAATCATAACAATAACATTACCTCATTGGCCAGCTCCAGGAGCACAGGGGCTGCTCCGTTTTTCCCCACACCATTCAGATACCTAGATAGACAAAGGCAAGTGGTCATGCAGTGACAAGGAAAGGCCAGCACAGACTTGTTAGTATCCCCTGTGTATACATGTTTCTCCTGGGCAAATGCCATGCTCAAGTCCTGTTAAAGTGTGCTTCCATCACAGGAAAGCAGTGAAGGGAAAGACAGCACAACAGCTTCCCTCCAACCAACCAACCAACTAATGAAGGTGAGGCAGAGGCACAGTCACACCAGTCTCCCTCCATTGCTTCTTCAACTTTGAGAAGTGAACAGAGGGGATTTCCAGACTCCCATCTACAGCACTCTATGCCTCACACAGCCATCACATAGGAAGGAGGAAAGGCAATTTCACAGTTTAGACAAAGCATGCAGGCATGTCAGCACCCATGCCACTGAGATCTTACACGTGTGATGGGCAATAGGAGCCATCATGTCATCTGCTCTAGACTCCCATGATAACCTCCAACCTTCATCACCAAACTACACTTTAACAAGGCAACAAGCACAACACCCCAGGTTCTCCCAGAAATGGAACACAGGATGGTTTGCTTTAATCTGACTTTGAATGTGGCATCCTCCTCCTCTAAGAGCTATGAACATCCCCATTCAATCCCAAAGCTGCACGATACCCACTTACCAGGTACCATGAGGTTCTTAATAATATGGATCTTTTGATGTTGTTCTACTAGTGGTTGAACCTAGCAATTTACACATTAGGCACAGCTACCACAGAGCTCTATCCCTAGCCTTCTTTGTGCTTTTTGAACCTGAAACTTGGTTTTACTGAGTTGGCAGGCTGATCCTGAACTCACTATGTGGCTTAGGCTGGCCTGTACTACTCCTGCCTTAGCCTGGGATTACAGGCCTGAATCAGTAGGTCTGGCCATAGTCCAATTTCTATTCACTCTACTTGGCCAACCTCATCTCTAGCACTATCTGCTACTCTTAACCCTTTACCTGTGTTAACTCCACACAGCTCCAATACCATGGACTCAGTCCAACATCCAAGAGTAAGTTAACTCCCTTTCATATACTAATGGGAAACAATCTTCATGTCTTTCTATTAGAGAACACAGAATAGTGTTGCCAAGCCATAGAAGTTCACCTCTCTATGAAATATGCTCCAGCATATTCAGTGAATGCCTACACTGATAGAGAGCTCTGAACTCTACATATATGATGCTTTCTAATGTATACAAATGCTCAACAGCAAGATTAGTTATAATTCCGAGTAAGAGATATATAACAGAACAACATTCTACAATAAAAGTTATATAAATGTGGTTCTGTCTCTCTCTTACTGAACTTTATTCAATTTTCTTGTGATAACTGTGTGAGATAACAAAGGCCTACATCATAAGAGGAAGTGAGATGACCGATAGGCACTGTAACCCAGCTTTAGGCTACTACTGTTCTGACAATTGGTTAGCAGGAGGATCATGGAGCAGATGACCAGATTATCCAAGCCATGGATAGCAGAACACTGGAAAGAGGAGGACTAATTTACTTGTCTGTCTCAACGTCATCTCCCAGTGTAATGCTGATGATAAGGGAATTAGATGTCATTCAGTTTATTATATCTACCACAATTTTTGGCTTATAAAGACGATTATATAGTATATATACATATATACTTTTTCTTTACTAATAATCAAAAACTTTTAAAGTCACATCTAGCAATATCATGTAAGAATGATTGAGTAAATTAAAGTTCTCTAATGACAGTTTAATAAAATAGTCAATAAATGAGTTCTGCCATGTAACTGCCAACAACAAATACTGCATTATATAATAACATAAGCAAGCAGGGTCAACACCAATTATAGGGGGAGTGGTGGGAGTATTATACCTTTAAATAATTCAAATTAATCCACTTCTCATATACAGGGGCACTTCTTAACTAAAACTGATTTAGGTAGGAAAGCAGTGAGGAAACAGGAAACTCAGAAGCATGGGTGGGAGAAAGGCAAGTGTGGGTTTGAAACCAGGTCCAGAAGCAAGAATAAAGACAGCCCCCCCCCCCCAAAGACAAAACCCAAAACACAGCAACGGTGGTTTAAAGAACAGAGCCCCTGGGAAATAGGTAGGATGAGAACTCCAGTCTATATTTCTGGTGCACTGACAAGTCTGCTCAAAGAATAAGATAATCAACAGGTATGGCCAAATTACACCAAATAATTGTGAGAAGTGCAAACTCTCCAAGAGCTCCAACCCTGGGTCCAGTATTTAAAGCAAACCTTCATCAGGGTAGCTTCAGTATTCTACACCTAACAGTCACATACACATCAAATACTTCTGAGAGCTCTGGGTTAGGCCTTAATCTGGGCTCCTAAGAAACAACAGGAAATAAAACATCCCTATTGCTATCATCACAAAGACATGTCATTCTTCAGACAACAATAAAACAAACAAAAGTGGAAGGCATAAGTACATAATGCCTGGTACAATAACATTTAAAATTAGGTGATTTGGTCAGGCCCACCTCTAAGGAAGTGGCACTTGAATCTTGCATAAAGTCAAAGAAGATGTAAGCCAAGATGTGTTTTGGGGGCAAATTACTTATGCTAGAGACCTGTTGTTTTGAGTCTATATTGCATGGCTTCCTATAAGAGACTGACAATACACAATGGGAGCTTCTAACAAGTACAAACAAACAGAGGTGGTCAAACAGTAACCCCAATGCACACAGTCTACATACATTCAGTCACTGCAAATTCCTAGTGCAGTGGGGACAAAGGCTCCTCAACAGCTCATATGAGGAAACCCACCTCAAGGCACTGATGAAATCTGCCCAGGCAAGCAGTGACGCACATGTGAAGCTGCAGTGCTGGAGGGAGGTAGATCACAGAGTCACGATTACTACAACCCTTGGTCAGCCAGTGGAGCTGAATCATCCAGCTCCAGACCCACTCAGGGGCTATTTCAAATAAGAAAAATAAGTAAACAAACGGGTGCAGCACTATCTGGGAAAATACCTGATGTCAACTTCTGGCCTCCACATTCACACACACACACACACACACACACACACACACACACACACACACACACACACACACAGAGGAACATTTATATATATCCCACACATAGAAAAGCCCCTTAGAGAAAACCTATTTTATGTCTGACTAGAAGATCTATGATCATGATATTATGTACTTAACTTTTAAAACAACTGAGTTAGAGATACAGCTCTGTAGTAGAGCTCTTCCCCAGTGTGCACAAGATCCCAGGCCTAATCCTCAGTATAAAAGACATGAAAACCTATAACTCTGCCATTGTTTTTTCTCCTTTTGGAATATTCTCTTCTTCCCAATAAACCAGTAAAGGGCATTGTTATTTCTACATGGGGTCCATTCACCGTTACTCTGGACACTCCATATGGGTAAGTGACAGAGCTGTGCTATACTCTGCAACCATACCTCTGCTGACCCTTCCCTTACTGAAATTCGCATATTTAGGGACACAGTTATCTTCCATTCCACAGAACAGTTGAAGGCAAGTATTATCTTTTTCACATGTGCATGGGCAGCTACCAGCATAACAGTAATGTGCAGTAAATGGTACTACAGGACATTTCAACTTTTTCTTGCTATGGCAAGAAAACCAACCTGAGGAAGGAAAGACTCATTTTGGCTAATGGCTTCAGGGCATGGTCTGCCTCTATCGCTCAGGTCTGAGGTGAGTGATAAGTCACTGCAGAGGGGCATGGTGGATGAAAGAAGCTACTCACTTCATCAGCCAGGAAGCAGACACACAGGAAGGGGTCAGGACAAGAAGTAGGCTCTAAAGACACACTCCCAGAAACCTACTGAATGATGTGACCTGCCTACATGGCAAGTCTGGTCTCTTTACTTATTCCTATCCAGAAATGCCCTTGTTTATTTAAAATTAGAAGTGTGTTTACTCTCTTTCCAGGAATTTGTCAATCTAGTCATCTGCCTCTCAAGATTAGCATCACAGTGGAATCAATGTTCAGAAACCAGTTTTATCATGCACTGTCAATATCAGGTCTCAACAATTCTTTTCTCCATGTCAACATCTTAGAAAATTCAATTGATCTGATTCTGTAGAGCTACTAAAGCTGTTCCCTGAACCAGTGTGGTTAGAAGGGATGGGAGGCAGTATTGCCAAACTTGCTGCTGATGGAAGCTCACAGATCTGACCATCTGTGATGGTCAATATTCATTGTCAACTGGGTTGGCTTTGGAATCACCCAAAGCTGAGTGTATGAGCGTGCTGAGGGTGTTTCCAATGGGGAATAGAGGAGAGGAGGCCCAATTGGGATAGGGATAATAGGAGGAAGACCGCTGTTCTCTGTGAGGAGCCTCAGCCACACCTCTGCCGCCATGCAGGATACATTCACAAACCACAGATCATACAAATCCTTCCTTCCTTAGGTTACTTGTCAGGGTCTCGAATACAGTGATAAGAAAAGTAACTAGCAGCCCAACCATGTGTGCACACAAAAGCCTATGTGTCCATTTGGAAAACTCAAGATAAAGTTTACCAAGTACCTTCCTGTATGGAAATAAAATAGCACAGTGCAAAGGGATAGAGAACTGTTTCCAAGTGAATACAGTCTGTCTGTAAATACCCAGCTGAGAATATTTCCCTATCAAGGTAAAAGCCCCGGAACACACTTTCTACTATTGTCCTGGTCCTATGAAGTTTTAGTGAACCATGGGGCTCTCATGGTAGCCACTGACTTTGAATGCCCAACTGACATAATCTCAATGACAGATAGAAGGTGGACTCAAAGGTTCTCATGCTGCCAGCAGGAATATCACCAAGATGCTTGTAGACAGTAATTTAACAACATATAATCAATTTCTAAATGTTCACATTGTTTGCACCAGTAATTACACACCCAGAAACCAACCAGTGCCAATGACTCAAGCATCAAGATGTTTACCACAGTATTATTTTTAATATCAGGACACTGGGAACATACTTATCCTCAGAAGAATAACCTTAGATATCCAGTCTTTTATATGGTGAAGTAAGGCAACTAATAAAAGAAAAGGCTTTTTACAAAATAATATTATATCACATACATTTTTCCACGAGAAAATCCAGGACTCATAGTTGCACATATAATATGACCTCATCTATACAAGAATGGGTTGTCAAAAGGCTGGGATGAAACTTTAACCAGTAGTTATCTCTGAGTGGCACAATTATGGGCAATCATTCATTCCTTTCTGTGCCATCACAAATGTGCTTAATTTTCACAGCAAGTGGTATTACTTTTATAAAGGAAAAAATTAAATAAGTTGCTATTAACATTTTCTCATTGCTTAAATATGTGTGGCTAAAACACAAGTTGCCTTTATTCTAAAAACCCTAAGAAAAACAAACATGAACCTTTTAAAGCCAATTTACCTTGGCAAAACCCAGGACATTTGACCTGTACATTTATATCAACAGGCTGGTGAGGCTGGTCTGGCTGAAAGGAGGTGACAATGTGGCTGGCTCCCACAGACATAACAGAAGGAACGGCCAGAGAATAACACCTGGGGGCGGGGGGAGAGCTTTCCTCTGAGTCTTGATTACAGCCTCAGTTCTGGTTTTATTTCAAATGTCTCAATGCCTCACCATAACTGAGACTTTATTATTTAAAAACATTGAGAAACAAATGTATTTCTATAATCTTATGATCACCCACTCTACTAATTACTCACTGTTCATTATTCGGCAACTATTAATATTTTTTTAAATGTTTAAAGTAAAACTATCCAGATAATAGAAAAACGTTAACATATCAGTAATTACTTATACATTTCTTTTTCAGTGCTGGGGATTGAACCTATGCTATGTCCTTGCACAAGCTAAGCACGTGTTCTACACCCTACAGCAAACCAAACCCTTTTTTTTTTATTGTGAGACAAGGGTCTCAAAAAGTTACCTACGCTGGCTATGAACCTGAGATTCTCATACTGGGGCATCCCCAAAGTTTACAAGCTTGTGACACTAGGCTTAGCGTGTGTGTGTGTGTGTGTGTGTGTGTGTGTGTGTGTGTATGTGTATCTATGTATGTATCTATATGTATGTATGTACATACACACATATTCATGTGTTATAAAAACACACATATTCATACATGTATGAATATTATATATTTTTTTTAATTAAACTAGCTTTTAAAAGTAGATAGTTTTGAAATGATTTAACTTCAGGTATCTTTACAGTGAGGCCAATGAGTGTGAGAGCAGCACTATCACTATTCATCACGTTTCACATTTCCAAGACCAGAGTACATATTACTCTCCAAGGTTGCTTTCCTCTCCCACCATACAAAACTTCACCTCTCAGCATGGAACTAATTCCATCTGGCAGCCTAGGACAAAACTACACTTTCACTTCTTTTTATACAGATGTGGTGATGCAGGTTGTGGGTGCATAGTCTAAAGCAGATGAACTGCCAAGTCAAAGACTGACCTGAGCTGTATAATAACACCTTGTCTCAAAACAAACAATTATTTCTTTGTATGTTAAAAAAATAACATTTAAAATTTCATTCTAGATGCCAAGACATTTGTAGGTCCTGTAGAACTATTGTAGATAAATCAATAGTTTTATTGAACTTTCCTTGAACTGTACAAAGACTTGTATAGAAAAGAATTCTATATATAGTGAGTGCATGGGGGGGGGTCATCTAAACGTTAATAGCTTTAACTACACGAGACAAAGGGTATTTTTTTTTTTTTTTTTTTTTTTACCATGAGGCAAAGTGAAAGACTTTTTAGAAGAAAATCCAATTTCAATAGCTTCTCTAAACTTCAATTCCTTTTTCAATTTTATAAACTTTATTGTTCAAAAACTTGGAAATAGGTAAAAACACTACACACCCAAATTAGCCAGATCCCCAAAATCTGTACAGTTTGATGACCTTCTATCAGTCATCACCTCACCCTGTCACAATGGTTCATCAACAAATCTCCAACAAATGTTGGAGAAATGTAGAGAGAAAAGAATAACTACTCAGCTGCTGGTGGAGTGCAAATTAATACAGTCAATGTGGAAAACAGTTTGGATAGTTTTCAAAATTTTTAAAATAGAACTATCATATGCCTCACCTCTTTCCCTCCTGGGCCCAAACCCAGAAACCCCAGGCCCTACCATAGACATATTTGAACCCCTTGTTTATTGCTGCTCTATTCACTATAGCAAGCAAAATGAACCAGTCTGGTTGTCCATCAGTAGTTGAATGATAATGAAAATTAGTTATGTCATCATTACCACTTACTGTTATTTATTCAGACATCAAAATGATGGTAACAAGTGTCAGAATTAAGAAAGTCAGAACTACTTTTAAAGGTTCTGTTCATCTCAGAATAATAAAGAAGAAATGTAAATATTCTCTGAACACTTTGCTGTTGAACACTCAAATCTTTTTTCAAGAGCATAGAAGTCCCCATTTAAAGACAATAGTAGTATAAAATGATAGGTCTCCATAATGTGCTTATTTGATGAAGGTCTTTCTAAAATAGCTAACCCAACAGATAGGGGGCAAAATACTACATTCAGTCTCATTTCTTTTTCTTTCTTTATTTTCATTTTCTTTTTCTTTTTTTCAGCTTGCTGGTCTGAATAAGAAAGAAATGAAAACTTGCACATATACATCCGGGTCACATGCATATGTCAATGTATACACCTCCATAAGATGTGGCTTATTTAAAATTTCAAGTAGCTAAATAAGATTCAGTAATAACTGAATTAATCTCATATAGGACATGCGTACACACCTATTGACAGTGCCGCCATATTCTTCATGCATGCCAAAGGAAGCTCTTAAAAACTGACTGCCAAATACATCAAAAGTTTTCAATGACAGTCTTAAAATTGTATAGAAAGTCAATTTAATGATCTAATTTATTCATAATAATTATCACAATTAACAGGTACTGTGATACCCTCTAGTGGGGCAGGCAGGTCATACCTCTGGTAATAACTTTCAATCGCTTCTGGAGTGTGATGTTTGGCATGTGTTCTTTTAATATGTTTCTGGAACAAAACACACACATAAAAAAATCTTAATATTGTGTCACATTATCAGGTTCAAGAACAGCAAAGACATATTTCTTCATCCCAGTGACAAGCATACAGGGCAAATGGGTAATGGCTTGGGGACTGGGATTGTAGCAGGATTTCCTTTACTGCACATTTTAAATCTCCTGCTTGGCTGAGATATCTTCAGACTGTACCATGAGTACAGTGTATATGTAAAAGCCACCAGGGTCATAGTAATTGAATCTAAATAAGTTTGCTTAGGGCTGCAGAGGGCAAAGAAAAACTTGTTCCCTCTTTCAACCTCCGTATTAATTTTCCCTCGATTCAATTCCATCTAAGTCCTCTGCGCTCGGCTTTTACAATCCAATTGCCATATTTAACCAGGAAGAACATTGCTTAAAAACAACTTATTTGAAAACTACAAAAAGTAATTCCATAGAGACTTGCCACTTGACTGACACCTGTCATCTCATGATAAATGACTCCATTTTCTGCCTCTCTTGCCTTCTGCCACTCCAGCAGTGGTCATTTATCATCATCTCTGTCAGCAATGGGAAGCGGCACTGACAGTGCAAGTCAGCAAACATTTAGCACATGGAGCCACGCAACACAGGGAAATTATTATTGTCAGAATAATAATGGTTTAGCATAATTTATTACAGGTCCACCAAATAAGCAAAGGCTAGATGTTATTAGACAGATGGATGGGTAGGCTTGGCAGGCCTCCACTGAGACGCAGGCGGTGCTTGATGTGGAAAGGGGAACATCCTCCAACCCAATCAGAGAGCTGGCAGTTCAATTACAAAGAAATAAAGGGACATTCATCATTCAATTAGGCACCTGTCAACCCTCACAAAGGAGAAAACTTCTAACCTGGTACTCCTGGGAGAAGATGCTCAGCAGAGTGGCCTGCGATTGACTGGAACAAATAAAAGAAGGACAAAGTTAATTACTGGAGTGCACAGCAAAGAAATAAAAGAGAAAGGACCTTCAAAGGTAGGCCCGCTGCCCTGTAATCCAACAGAACACGAAAACAAGTGTGGAGAAGTTGTTCCAGATGAGAACCTCACACAAAGGCTTCCTGCTGCGAGGTCAAGGAGAGAGGAAGAGAGGATGGGGAGAACTGGTCCTGATGCAGGAAGCGTAACATTGGGATTCTCTGCAAACTTGGGATGGCTGCATCATATCTGCAGTATAAAACAGGATTTTACACTACAGAGGACAAGAAAAAGGTTTCTTGCTACAAATGAGATACTCTTGGGAACAGTAGGGAGCATACTTCAGAGTGACAGCATTCCCAGGTTTATCTTGTTGGCTGTCTCAGTTTCGTTGGGGAAACACTGGTCTTTACTAGAGGTTGGTAGCACAGAGGCCAAATGAACATTCTCACCTACTGGCAAGCTCTGAAAAGAGAAGGGAAGGCAGCAGGAAGTGGTGGTCTGCAAAAGGCCTCACTCCCAAAGACTACAGGTAACCAGGATGTCATAGCATCAAGCACTGGGCAATAAAGCAACATGGGAAATCCTTCTTCTGAAATGGGTGCCCTTTAGAGATGGAACACAATGTTTCTTTCTGCAAATGTCACCAGCATCCACTGCTGCCTTCAGACTGCCCTTGGTGTATACATCCACCATTGATAATGACTATTTCTGATATAGTCTTCTAGCAAATGCAAACTGGAAAGACTACACTTTAAATCATTTGACTTTCACAGTATGACAACACTCTGTGAACATTAATTTTTTTTTATTATTTATGAATGAAACAACCCAAGTGTATCAGCACTTCAGAGAGTCTGATATAAAATACCTCCACATCTGCTTGTTCACTGACAGGGTCTGCAGCTCTGGAAGCCATCATGGGTTTGGCTTCTGACCCTACCCACCAGGACCAAATTATATGAGGAGGTTTAAAACAAAAAACCAAACAAACAGAAAAACCCCACAGGGCCAGCAAGATGGCTTGGTGACTAAAGGTACTGACAACCTGAGTTCAATACTTAGCACCCACATGGGAAAGAAGGTCCTGCAAGTTGTCCTCTGATCTCCACATGTGCCATGGCATGCACATCTCCATACATGTACACATACATACATATTCAACATAAGTACATATAAAAATAATTTTAATAACATAATCCTAGTGCTTTGGAAATTGAGGCAGGAGGATTGCTCCAAGTTTGAGGTCTACATAGCACACAGCAGACCAGTCTTTAATCTTGGGGGAGGGGGACCAAGAAGAGAAAGAAAGACGGAGAGAGACAGAGGCAGACTGGGGATTTCTTGGGAGTTGGGGGATATATAGTTGTTCACCAAAGAAAGTGGTACTTAATTAAAGAACTATACAATATGCCAAAGAGTGCTGAGTAACAACAGAGGTCAATTATAAATTCATTAGTCATTTTTTTTCAATTTCCTTTTGAAGTTAGAAACCATCTTTTAAAAAACTAATTATATGTATGTATATATGTATGTTTGGCTTGCTTGAACTTAACATATCATATACCTTGGTAGGATTGTTGAAACAAGCTTCTGGAAAAGATGCCAAAATGAAGGCCCAATCTGTATGAACTACTTTAAAAAGTAAAATGTTTCATATCTATGTACAATTAAGAGACCTCTCCTCACAGTACAAAATAGATTGATGTTATTAAGCATTTTGTAGTACACAGAATGTACACTTCTAGATTTCGAAAAGTATGGTAGAAGCATTGGTTGGAAAGACAAAAGACGGCAGGCATGACCCAGCACTTGGGAGGCAGAGGCAGGCAGGTATTTGAGTTCAAGGTCAGCCTGGTCTACAGAGTGAGTTACAGGACAGCCAGGACTATACTGAGAAACCCTGTCTAGAAAAAAATAAAATAAACAGTTCCAAGTGAGTCTGGTCAGGACTTGGGAGTACTGTAGGATGAGATCATGTATTTAGCTAGATAAGATCTTTAAATTTCAGTTCTGTTCAGCCAAAACAATGGTTAGAGACGAATGGAATAACCAAGTTTCTCTGTGAAAAAGAAGCTAGGGTCGCACCCACAAACACTGTAGAAAAAAAAAAAAATTAAAAAGCTGACTAAAACCAAAACCAAAACACAACTTGTGTTATACCAACAAAGAAGACTGGCTCCCAGAATACTTTGGTTTTCCTTAACAAAGCAAAGCTGCAGAAAAATAAGTGACCTGTGCTAAATAATTTGCTAGCCAAGCCTCTATTCTAGTATGTGTTGATCTACCAAGGCAAGGACCTGAACAAGTGCCATATGATGAAAACCAGAAAAGGAGCCTTGGTGAAACCAAAGCCCTGACACCAGCGTCTTTCCTCTGGTGCTGATGCTGAGAAGGGTACTAGAGATAAAGTACTCCTGAGGCAGGTGGGAAGGCCAGCAGTCACAGAACTGCAAAGCTATAGTATCAAATTGTGTAGTGGACTACTGGCTAGTCACTTTGGGTAGCAGAGAACAATGCGTAGGCAGTAAAGAATTCACTATGTAGGTCAGAATAAGAGTGACAGCTTAAGGAGTACCCTACAAGAGGGCAGAGTGTGGGGCAGTGTCTAGAACACCTCCTGCAGCAAAGGTAATGGGCTATGGAAACTCCATCTATTGGAACCTCCAAGTATTTTCACAGTTCAAACGAGTTTCTCCACATGCAGTTTCCCGCATGTAATTCATACCATGGGATGAGTAAAGTCCAGGCTTTCTCGTTCAGTTCTGAGAACTTAACTCACTATCCTCCACTACCCTCTCCTACCCTCCAATACCCTCCAACATCACCTATCATACATATCCTTATTGCAAAAATGAAGAAATGTATGAAGAAACATTAGTTTAAAACACATAATTAAGCATCCAGATAAAGTGATGAGTAAAAGTCCACATCCAATTCCAGTACCTAAATTCTTAATTCCCATGAACTTGCACCTTCCTAACATTTCCAAGAAAATAGTTCTGCCAGCCATACAGGCTAATACCTCTGCTCAAGCATTTATGAGGTTGTATTATACTATAGACCACCTTGAAAGGTGGAACATGTTGCCTTTTTTTTTTTTTTTTTTTTTTTTTTTTGGATAGAAAATTGAAGCCACAAGAGGTCAAATGTTTTGACCAAATTAAATGACTTTAGATGATATTCCCTTCTTTAAAAATCAAATTGCAGTTTTCCTTTAATTAGCTAGTTTTCTTTTAATTAGCTGTATCAAATACAATTTTCATTTTGTGTTAAAAGATAAAGGAACTATTGAAGGCAGGAAACTGTCTGGGTAAGAAGACTGTTAAGTACTTTCCATTATCCTCTCTTCAGCTAAGGTGCATTTTAACTACCACTATGGCCTCGGGTGTTTCAATCAGTCTTCACGAGTCTTTTACTCAAATGTTATTTCCATCTCTTACCTTAACCTCTCAAGTATACATGACGAAAACACATTCTAAGGTGTTAGTCTTATAAAACAATATTTAATGAAGAGTTTCCCACTTACAAAGAGCATATTCTGTAAAATCCAGATTCCACTGCTGATAGCCATCTAGTCTACAGCCTGCCTGTGTTTTCATTCTTTATCCAAAGAATATGGATTTGTGTGTATCTATACACAAATGGAATGTCAAAGCATCATAAGTGGTATACATATTTTTGTAATATTATTTTATCATGAAAGAAACACATTTATCCATTCTACTAGAATCATTCTTTTTAAATTATGGTGAATAAAATTAAAAAATACCACATGGAATACATTGCAGCATAATAAATTAATATTTTTAAAAGACAGAAGAAAACCATGTAACCATTTTGGCCAATACCTTCAGCACCCTGACGGACACCTAGGATATCATTATTCTTTCCAGTTAAGAAATGAGTCTTCTGATCTTTCTTTGATTTCCTTTAGTTTTGTCATGACAAGTATGTATTGTAGATGTTAGTGTTGCCTGTTGGTTGACATAAGAAATGTCCTATGCAATACACATTTTTTGTTTTGGTACCTGGCTCCTCATCTACCATGTCTATGAGGTTGATTTATCCACATTAGACGTAGGTGCAATTCATTGCTTACAGTTCATATTTACTCTTGGGGTGATGTATGTTTATGGTCCCATTCCATAGCTTAAGATATTCCTAAGTGTTCCCCACATTGTTCCTAGGCCTGATCTCTAACCTCTGTCTAACAGTCCTACAATGCTATCAAAAATACTACTTGGGATATAACTAGACCACCTCTGACCAAAGGGTAACTGAACTAGAATTTAAGGGTTTCAAGGGTAGTTCCCCCCCCCACCAAAAAAAAGTTATCTTCAAAAACTAAATATCCTACCTAAGTAACCTCTAGAAATATGGAATAATGATGGAACAACACACAAAAATGATCACTAATAATGGCAAAATCAGTACTAAAGAAAAACTGAAAGTTTGTTAGACATTAGAATTAAAGGAACATGAATTGAGATACTATACAGAGTCCTAACAAACTATACAATGCAGGACATTTGTGCCTTATTTTATTTTAAAATGAGAACATACTCCCATGACCACTCAAGACACTCTGAAGAACAGAAAGTGGAGAACTCACACTAGCAGATTATCAATATGAACAAATCCTTAAAAAAACTAAACAAAACAAAACAAAACCGTAGCTATCAAGAAAAGCAGGAAGAATTGCAGGTGTCAATCACAGCTGTAACTATCCATCATTTTTTTTAAAAAAAATGTGATAAGGAAAGGTAATGCAGAGAGGGTTAGACTGTTTCCTTTCTATGAAAGTAAAACATCTAAAGCAAACAGAGATAAGAGGTTCATTACATTATCTCTACACATTTGCATCTCAAAATACATTTTTTTAAAATGAAAACAAATATTTATAGACAATATTTGGGAATTTGGGCGTTGTTCTTTCCAAACTACTTCCTGCTGGTAAGGGGCGCTGTCATGGGGGATT